AAATGAATTATAAAACCCGTAGCCATGGTTAACAGCATGTTCAATGGAAAACAGTTAAAACATATATATAGGCAAACAGTTTTTTTCCAAAAGACATAACCTTTAAAAATAATAAAGCGGTTAATTCGAAAAGACGCAATATTTGAAAAGAAACAAAAAAAACAGTTATTTTCGAAAAGATGTAATTTTTGACGAAACATTTATTATGAAAAGACATATGACTCTTGATAAAACGGTTATAACGAAAAGATACAACTCTTGCAAATAATCATAAAGCGATTATTGTCGAGAAGACTGGAACCTTTCAAAATAACTATAATGCGGTTATTTTAAAAGAAAAAAAAAATTGGCTCTATCAAAAGCCTATAAATAGACTAAATTTGAGTTATTGCCCTGCAGCTGCTTGTCAATGGGAACTGCATGTCCCTCATTTTCAAACTGAATTGAACCATTTCGAAAATCGAATTTAAACCGAAGCAGAAACCAACCAAATTGAACCGGGATCGACCCAAATTGCAAAACAAAAATCTGCGTGGTGATAAAATTGAGAGTGGCGCGCTTTTGCCTAGAGTTGGGGAACGCTAAATTTTGCTCAAATGGAAGTCGACGGTGGAGAGAGGTCGAGCTTCGTCGCCGGGCCTCATCGAGAACAGAGCCAAAGAGTTACGTCGCGGTTTTCCCCTTACATTCGCAGGACTACGATCTGCCTTTTGTTCTCTTATGGTCTCCGTTTTTTGCAATGGCGATTTCTGGGATCGATGTTCAAATTCTCACAAGGTTGTTGCTCGCATAGTATCTTCGTGGTGATGTACGATTTCGATTTTGAATTTCTCTGGTCAGGTTGGAATGGCTGCCTTTGACCTAAGGTCCTACCAAAAACACGAAGACGCTCCTGCGTTTCTACGATCCTTCTGTCTGTGATAATTGTTCCTCCCAATACGAAGATCCTGCAGATGGCATCGTTGGGGTATCAGAACTGGTTGATAGATGTTATCGCACCGTTAGGAAGATTAATTTTTCTGCAATGGAGAAATGTTTCTGTTCAAATTCGGAACTGAAATGTTAGCTTTGTCAGAATCAATCAAACTGTTGCTATATATCTTCTCTTCTTGCAGGTTTTGCTTGCCCGTGGCTGTTTTGATGACACCAAGGTCTCTTGTAGTACAAACATGGCATAACCTAAGGGATCTTGATCCTTGTACTCATGTCTTTCTGAATTAGGAACGCGTTTTTGGTTGTATGTTTCAGGGTGTGATGCTCATTCAAAACTTGGCTGCAAAAGAACCTGTGGCCCTTGGTTTAGACACTTACTATAAGCAGCATTCTCTCTCATTGGCTGCAGCTGCAGCTGCAATCAAGTGGTGTCTACATCCTCAACTTGTTTTTGCTTCATTACATTATCATTTTGGTGTTTTTGAAATACTGAGTTTTGGTTGTGTCATGACTCAAGAGCAGGATAGAGGGGGACAGGAGTGTGGTAGTCACCAACCACTCACTCTATGTGTGTAGTTATGTACTGTTCTTAAATACCTGGTTATGATCATGTGTGAATGCTTTAATTCCACAATCCGTTTCTTCTTTGAGTTCAACCTTCTCTTTACTGCTTAAGGGTGCTGATAGCATTTTCCTTGATTGTGTTGCCTATGTTTGGGTAACTTTTAATGGATCGTTTCATCACATGAATGTCGATGCAACTAGGTACGATTACCATGTTCTTAGTCTATTTAAAAGTAGAGAATTTTAGCATCAAAACTAGAACTCCTTTTATTTCATTGTTTGTTTGGTTTAACGGTAGTGTTGAGAATCTGGAAATCATTGATCCATTCCATAATGCTCTTTTGGGCACTAGCATCAAAAAGAGGAGCTTGTTCCAGATGTTCAAGACAGCAAAAACTGTCGGCGGGTATCTAGAATTTGCTTCTTCTTTCTTTTTCCTTAGGATTGAAATTGCTATCAGAGACCTCTTCGTCTGTTGTGAAAAATATTGTATATGAGTTTGGCATTTCAGCATTCAAATTTTAACCTTCATACTATGTTCCTCAGTCATGTGCATATTTCATTGATTCTTTAACACACTAATCAATTTAGTTCATACATTATACGTTGGTCAGGACTAGGCTTCTTCGTGCCAATTTGTTGCAGCCTCTGAAAGATATTGAAACTATTAACACTCGCCTGGACTGCCTGGTAGTGGTGAGTATAATTATGCTTTGGGTATCATATCCTCCAAGAAACTTTAACGTGCATAACACTCACTTTCTGTTGTGTGTTCAACATGTTGATTTACAGAGCTTAGTCATTGTGCAACTACCAGAAAATTTCCATTGCATGAATTTTTAATCGTAAAACAAATTTTCTTTTCTTGTAACTGCAGGATGAGTTGATGAGCAGTAAACAACTATTCTTTGGGCTGACACAGGTTTTACGTAAATTTCCAAAAGAAACTGGTAAGTAACTAGGAAAAAATATGGGGAAATCCTGAAATTTTCTCTTTGCATCCAAAATTTTCAGCTTGGTTTTGAAAATTTCCAAAATTTTCAAAAGATTATCCACAACTTTCAGATAGAGTTCTTTGTCATTTCTGCTTCAAGCCAAAGAAGAGTCACAGACGCGGTCCTAGGTTTTGACAATACCAGAAGGAGTGAAAACATGATTTTCAAGCATTATCTTACTTAAGACTGCATTGGATGCTTTGCCTCTGCTTGCTAAGGTGGTTTCTTTCTCATTTTGTTATCAGATTTTTTGCTTGATTTGGTATCTATGTCCCTTACCAATTACGCCCTGTCCCATGTAAACATGCAGGTTCTAAAGGACGCAAAGTGTTTTCTCCTGGCCAATGTTTACAAGTCCGTGTGTGGAAATGAATGATACATAATACTTCCATCAGAAAAAAAAGTAAATCTTAACTATGATCTAATTTTCCATTCCCTCCGGTTAAGGCTTCTTAAAATTTGAGTTTTCAAATAACTTGACTCTTTTCCTCTTGTCCTATCAGAGTCGGGGAAGTTATTGATGATGATGTCCTCCATGCGCGGGTTCTTTTTGTTGCCCTCACACAGCAGTGTTTTGCTTTAAAAAGCCGGAATTGATGGATTTTTGGATATTGCATGGAGAACTTTCTGTAATACTAGTGAAAGTGAACCAAGAATGTGCTTCATTTTGTATTATTACTGTCTTTCCCTTTTACAAATCTGTTCCACTAATCCAAAATCTTGTAACCACCGGCAGCAATACATAAGTCTGGCCAGTAGGTATCGTGAGGAATTCAACTTGCCAAATCTAAAACTCCATTTCAACAACCGGCAGGGCTTTTTTCAGAATTTCTCAGAAGGATGTTCAGGGAAAACTTCCAAGCAAGTTCACGCAGGTCATAGACGCACTTCCCTTGGAAACTTGATACTCTATCTATATGGTTTTCCTGACTTTATTTTTCTTGTACCTGGAATGTAATCAAGGTTGTAAAACATGGGGAAAACATACATTGTTCGAGTCTGGAGCTAGCTTCTGTAAGTTGAATCATCATTCCACAATTTCCTATGCCTTGTTTCCTTGTCTGATTCTCTTGGTACTTAATCATTTCAATGCTAGCAGTTTATGAAGTGATATAGTTCAGGCCACATTATAGCTATCCATACGAAGTTTAATGTTTGCTGCAAATGATATTAAATGAACAATACTCCCCTCCCAAGTTTTTAATACAGTGAAGACTTGAAACTCCATGGATCTTTTCGGTATGAGAGAATAAGCCCTCAAATCTAGCTCAAGTTGCAGCTATGTTCGTGATTCACGAACCTAGATGCAATGTTTCATTAACATCTACCGTACATTGATCTACACGTGCAGTTGAATGTTAGGAATAAGTCTGGCGCGGGAGAGTATTATGTTCGAACGGAAACATGCCTCGAAGGTTGATATTTGCACATTGCCCGCAACTATAAACAGTAACACGTTGTATTACATAAATATATATTACTATCAGGCTTGGTTCCTGTATGCCTATTACTTGAAACGCTTTCCATTTGCATGCAGCACTAATGGATGTCATAAGGGAAGATGTATCTGCCCTCACACTTTTAGCAGAAGTCTTATGTCTTCTAGATATGATTGTTAATTCATTTGCTCATACAATATCCACCAAGCCAGTGGATCGATACTCTAGACCTGAACTAACAGGTAGCTGATTCTCCAACTATTATATACTGAGACTGATTGTATTCCTCAATCACCTGCCCATATGACTAGTATAACTGAAGCATCTAATAATGAATAGGAAATAGACTGCGGAATATCTTTTATACACTGCACATTACGTGAAATGATTGATCACCGTTTTGTGTGGAATTTACTTGTCTATATACCTTTTGGCAGATAGTGGCCCACTGGCAATTGACGCTGGAAGGCATCCCATCCTAGAAAGCATACACAATGACTTTGTTGTAAGTTATTTTTGCTATGTCTCAGAGTAAGATCATTCCATAATTAATTCTGAGAGCTCATCTTGTGCAATTGCAGTTGATAACGGGTTTGCGTATACAGTATATGGCGTATTGAATGAGGATTTCTTGGAATCGCGGATCTCCGAGGCCCGCGACCAATGGAAACAGGTGCTGCAGTTCTGTAAAAAAGAAGAGATTTTGGAACACCATGTAAAGGGCATTTTAAGAGGAAAACCATTATAACAGGTGCTGCGTTGCATGAAATGTGGATGCCCTACGAGATGTGGTAATCGAGTGGTCCTAAGAGGAATACACAAGAAATTACAGGTAAAACATTTACCTTAACCAACTCATTTTTCCGGGGTTTTTATTATAGAAAGTAGAAATCAACTAATTTCGATTTTCTTTATCGATCTTTTGTTTTTATGTCAGGAGTTTTTCACGCCAAATGGGAAAGGTTGGGGGCCTAAGGACTTTGGAGAGATTGCCTAAAGGGGCATTTGTTTGTGAGTACACCGGAGAGATATTGACGATTCCATGGGGTTATACCAACGTAGATTTGAAGATAAACTCACTTCTCCTGTGATATTTGATGGGGATCTCAAGATTTTTTTGAGGATAACAAAGCTCTGTGTCTTGACGCGACACGTTTTGGTAATATCTCAAGGTTCCTTAACCACAGGTTAAGGCTTACAATAATACTCAGAAGTCTCTCACTCAGAACACAGTTGAGTTTTTCTCTATCTAAATTGATATTTTTGTTCTGTTTTCAGATGCCTAGATGCAAACTTGATCGAGATCCCAGTTCATGATGAGACGCCGGATCAGCACTATTATCATTTATGACTCAATGGTGGTCTCATTTTACAATCCCTTGTTCATATGTTTCATTTGTATCAATTATATATAACCGTAAATCTTCTTCAGCTTGCATTCTTCACAACAAGAGACATCAGCGCAGCGCAGAAGACGGATTAGGTGTAGCGAAATCACCAGAAACCGTGAGTTAACAACAAATCACCTTTTCATCACAACTAAACCCGAAAANAGAATCTTTNATTGCAATTCAGTTCTGTAAGACTCAAAAATACNACAAGCTAGCTGNCTAGATAANATTCACTTGGGAGTAGAGTACACATTCATTGGCTTCAGAAATTTAGAACGGCTAGATTTTGAAATGAAGATACCTTCTAGAGTGGAAGATGTTGTTGTTTTCAGGAACAAAAACATCGTAACCAAGAATGTTTATGCCTTTTGCAGCAATGGAATCTGATAGTTCCACTACAATCACAACCACATCCTAAAATCAGACAAGGGGGTCAAGGCCTCGCAGTCGTTTGCATCGCCGATCCTCACCCTCCCTCGCAGCTTCTGGCTATTGAACTAGCTCTATCCTTTGGTTGGGAACTCCTTGGAGCCTGGCCCTTGGGAGTTGCTTGCAGAGGTCACAGAGGCCAAACCTGCAGCCAGGGCCGCTACAGAGATGGCAGAATGCAGGTGGGCGTTCTCAATAGGCGCCTTGTCGTTCTTCTTGAGACCGG